AACTGCGACTTCAAGAAACGGGATGAAGTGAATTGTAATTTCGTCTCGTCGGAATTACAAAACTACCGACTCACGAGAGGATTCTGTCCCGACGACTCTCCCTAAAATGCCGGTTGGCATCGACAGTCTCAGCGGGGGGGGGGGGGGGGTTTCTTTAGTACATTTCGATGTGGCCCAAAATAACAACATTGGTATTGGTTATAGAAAGCGAATTCGAAACGACGGTAACAGATCGTTATCGTTATGTGGATTATAATCGGTACCTACGAGGCGACGACAAAATTCATGTATTTCGGTTTCTACTTTGTGGCGGAATGATTTAGGGCTTTTGCTCTACCGTTTTGCTTATATCTTTCCAATTGAAAATTTAATTGCCGCAATATCGGGATTAAAATAGCGCTTCACATTTAAAAGTTAAAATACCGAGATTCGAAATTTCAAATTCGAGATAAGACACTTTCTCTCGTTATCTACACTTTACTATCTTCGGTTCTTCTTTTATACCGTCGTCTACCGCGCGATCGAAAAGCTAGAGTACGGGATAATATCATGCGAGTCCCCTCTAGCAGAGAAATGACGAGAGTCTTTTTTTTTATCACCAAATTATTTGATACATGATTATGTATAATTATACTGCGACACGCTCTCACGCATAATTGCCAGTTATGCTGGGCACGCTTTCGCACTAGTCGCACACGTTGCGCAATATCACATGCCGCGAAACAGGTTTTTCTCCGACAAAATCTGTAAAAAAATTTATTTTTGGCATGGGTTGCGTGTCCCTTAGCATCTTTTGGCGTGTGGTCGTCTTCGCAATTACATTAATTAATTAAGCACTTTCTAAAAGTAACGTGGGACTGAGTATGTAAGGAAGAAGACGAGGAGGGGATGTCGATTTTGGTAATCCATAAATTCATACGTAACCACGACGTGAAAAGACATCGCTTCAATCTAACGCTTTCAATTTAATTACAAAATTTGTAAAGTTAAAGAAGAAACATGGGTATAAACATGTATATAAAAACATACAAAAGTCTATATCGTTTTATTGCAATACCTTAAAAAACAATTTTAAAAAAAGTAAAACAAAGACGCCAAGATAATAATATTAATGGGACAAATTTTTAATACTTATTCAATGAAAATATAATGCAAGCAAATTTCATAAAAATGAATATTTTGTTAAAAGACGACCTTTACTAATTTCATTGTTGGATACATATCGGTTCTGCCTCGCGATATTATTGTTTATTAAAAAAATTCGGCGCTGTTAAAGCACGGCCGACTGTATTGCCGTGCTAGCGGCATGCTAGAACCAAAGTCTTCAACTAAAGAAAAATGTCACTTATAGTCGGCAGTGATGATTAAAAAGTAAAACAGTGAGCTTATTGTCAACCCAATTGGAAATTTTCATTAAATTTGTTACAACGTTTCGACTTTACTTCAGGTTAGATGTTTCGCTTGTCTACGAATTTTTCTTTGTTTCTTTTTGTATTGTTACTTGAAAAGGACCTGAAGTAAGGAATTTGTAATAAATTTAATAAAATATGCCAGTTGGGTTGACAATAAGCTTACTGTTTTAACTTATAACTAAACTTCTTCGTATTTTGAAAAACCAAGTTTTGCATTCTATATTTTAGATATAGTTTTCTTTTATATTATATTAATCTGTGAATAAACAAACCATCTTTATAAATAAATTACCACTTAATTAATAAAGCCGTTTTCTTAAAAAATATGTTTATATATAATCTTTACTGGTGATAATATATCGCTTTGAATTATGGTGAAATACAGTTATGTGCAAAATAATAGCACCAGGTAAAAATATTTTTTAATTTCTCAATTTTAACAAACTAAATATATTCGAAGTTACTTTATTTTATTTATTAAATATATATTAATTAACAGAAACATTAGACGTAACATTTTATTATTTAACAGAGAGATAACTATAGAAAAATCAAATTTTTTGTTTATTTGATGTGCAAAATAATAGCACTTTTATGTAAACAATATAAATAAGGAACGGTATTTATGTTGGTGTCTTCTATTAATCAAATGGTAATTCATTTATAAATGTGGTTTATTTACTCTAAAGCGCTATTTTAAAGCAAAATTATTGTAGGCAAATGACCCACTATGAAAAAAACACTTGAAAATTTTAAGAATAAACTCCAACTATGATAGCGTGTATGACGAGAAGAAAATTGTTTCTTCAAATAGTTTTAATTTTATTATAAAATTTTCGCTTTAAAATAAGTTGGAGACGTATTTGTACTCAGAATTTTCCATCGTAGGTACATACATCCCCATCCATGCGTCGTCCACTCGTCGCCGCTTTTCTTTTCACTCTTTTCAGGCTTTTTCCAATCTCGCAGAGACACTTCGGCTTTTCCGGAGAAATCAAGAGTGCACTTCTCATTGCGCACGTCTCTCGCTCGCCCTACTTCCAGTGCTCATTAGCGTGCCTTTTTTACAATGCAATTTCCGCGAGTGCCCGTCGCACCTCTTTTTCCCATCCTCTCCCTCGCGAGGCGGTATAATAATATAGTAATAATCGACGGTGTTACGACGCGTGTCTCGCGGTTTGCGAATTCGTATCTCGCGAGCGAAGACACGCGCACGTCTCTCTGGCATCCCGCTAACCGCGCTCTCCTGACAATGAACTAGATAGGCGAGCCGTGCCACGTGCGCGCGTATGTGCATTCGTGTCTAGGTTAGTAGTGACAACTTTATATCCACCTGACATATGAAATGAGATTGTCGCGACGGAGAGCGTTTCTCATTCCTCGCGAGCTACGCGAGCAGCCTAACTATTTGGATACCTTTCGTGTCGGATGCCGTTTTTCTAATTTTCTCACGATTATTCCTTCTGGAGTTTCGTCTTAACGCATATGTCTACGAATGTGAAAATTATATTTCGTTTTTCTTTGAAATTTGCATATTATAACCGAGGCGAAATCGTTACAACCGCGTAGGGAGGGGGGGACTGTATGGGTTTGCGACACACCTATCTCCTCTCGTATTTTTACCTCCTAATTGAAAGCAAAGCGCTCCGGCAGAATAAATAAGACTTGAAAATGTATGCAAGAAATTTTCACTCATCACCCGCTAGCTCTTTCGTACTCGTCCAAAATCTCCGTGCATCCCAATTGCATCTTCATACGCATGACGGACGACGAGCGCGAGCGCTGCCGCGCATCGATTATCGACATCACCCTATTTCCAATGTTGCATATTTATCAGCAATACGTGGCAATGATCCACATAATCCATCGGGCCGTCATTGCCCCCCTCATTAAGCATGGCGATGAGAATTGAAATTGCACAGCTGGCCGGCTTCGGTCGCAAAGGACGAGGCCGGACATCTGCTCTGGGGAAAAAAAAGACAATTAGCAACCCATTTTGGGGCCCACAATTAGTAATCGAATTATTTGGATTGTTCGTAACTCTATTCTTTTACGAATTTTACCCCACCTAACTAAAAGTCGCAATTAGCTATTCTATCTATAATATATCCAAGATTTTAGAGTAATACTAATCAATTCTTTCAATTAGTTCTGTCGATATTGAGTAACGCGAAGATAATTTTTACTTAAGAGGCACTAACCGAAATGTTAAGTTGCCTAACTACAAAAAATCCGGTCAAAATTTTACCCAGAGTAGAGTTACGAACAATTCAAATAATTCGATTACTAATTGTGGGCCCCACAATGGGTTGCTAACTGTCTTTCTTCCTCCCAGAGTTCAATCCGACGGACCGAAAGAAAAAGTCACCACGAGCAGCGTCCCGGGCTCCGAAGGAGCCTAGACTCGCGTTGGGAAGAAATCACTTTCTCAGAAAAAAAAATCGGCGATCTCTCCGCAGATAGCTCCGATTGCGGATTCGCGGACAAGTTTCACGGGCCGGAAGACGCGGCGACGTCTCGATCTCGGCTGAGAGATCGTTTGAGACGCGGTACGCCCCGCTGTTATTCAAATCTCGCGCGTCCACAGTCGCCCCCAGTCCGTTCGTGACGATAGCCCGCGTCGTTTGAAAATCGCGCGCGCGATCGTCACGGGGAAAGGGGGGCCTATAAATAAATCTCGCGAGGACGTAATCGGCGCGGCTCGTGGTTTTTCTGTTTTCACGATCAAGTTTGCCCGGCCGAGAGGGGGCTGACTGGCTTAGCCGAGCCGCTGACATTGACACTGGCCTACTATCTCCGGCGTCGTTTACTCTCCTGCTTCACGCTTGTGTTCTCATTCTCTTTCGTTTCGTGCTCGGGACAAAACAACGTAAAGGCGCACCGCGTTTTTCACTGTCGCGCTTTTCTCCTTCGTCCCTTCCGGTCACCGCTTTCCCTACCGGCGATCGTTCCGTTATTATTCACATTTATCGTACCGGGAAAAAAAACACAAGCAGAAGCTCTGAATTGATATTTTACTCTCGATCAGTAGAGGGCTTTTTTCAGATAAATGAAATAGGAGGCAAACGTAGTTAAATTAATATTTTAAACAGGTTGAAAATACCAATTGTGTCACTATTTAATCTCGGATATGTTTTAGATCTTCGTAATTACTCTGAGAATTGAATCAAGGTCAGATCGATCTAGCACGATAGTGCTTTAATTTCAGTCGGCAAAAATTATGACGATAATCTCCCCTTAACAGACAGACAGAACGCATCGAATTTGAATGAAATCTAAGTGAGACTGCACCGGAAGGCGCTTGCAGTTTTAAAAATCGCCGCTTTGTCGGCTCGTCGATATCGACTTTATTAACTCGCGGTATCTCGCTTCTCGATCGGCAACAACGCTAGCATCGACAGCGCGCCGCGGGATGCTAGTGATAGTAAATAGATTGGCACATAAATTAAGCAAAAGAGAGAGAGAGAGAGAGAGAGAGAGAGAGAGAGAGAGAGAGAGAGAGGCGACGCGCCTGCCTGTGCAGGCCGTACGGCGGCCCGTCCGGCGCTCGACCTGGTTTCCAGTAAAGAAAAGTCGTTCGTTTCTTACCGCGCTCAAGATCGAAGAAGAGACCGCGCCGTTACGAGTGGCTTCAGGACACGCTCTTCCCGATTCTGGACGGTGGAAAGCATCCTCTCCTCTCCCTTCTTCCGCCCCGTCCTCCTCGCACGCCTCTCGCTCAGGCTCTCCCGGTGCTCTCCCCCTCGTTCTGTTATGAAAGTGCCGCAAGTGGAGCGCGCCGCCTCTGCGCGACAACAAAGCTATACTTTTATTTATAACTGGCCGACTTATGTCGCCCGCGAGCCGGGCCCCTGCCATCCCGATAGACGAGAGCAGGTCGTTAGATCGGGCAGACGGCGCGGCCGCGGACCGCCGGGAGCGCATTCGCCGCGGCGAGACGCGGCCGCGAGAGAGTGGAAAAATGGAAGCGAGCCGAGAGAGTGCGAGAGGTGCCGCGAGCGCGAGAAAAATCCCGACCGAGCAATTTCCTCGCGAGAGGCGAGAGAGCTGCCGCCGGGTCGGAAGACCGACGGGACGGGCGGACGGCGCTTCCACCGGCGGAAGAGTTTGTTTTCCTTTTGCGGACGCGCCGACCCGCGAGATCGATGCGAGAGAGGCGCAACGGGCACGCGAGAAAGACCGGGCGAGAGTACTATCCCAGATGTTCAACGGACTTTCCAATAAAAGTTCAATAATTTGTTGCGAAGATGATGAATTCGGACCAGATCGTTGAGTTTCTCCGTATCGCACGGAACGAATCGCAAGTGTAATGATAAATCGATTGATCGCGCACCGATTAGTTTTATCGAGCGATTTACCGCTTCAATATCCGAGCCTTGGAATAGCCCATAAAGACTAGGAAGTAAGTCGCATCTGCGACAGTTCTAGATTAACGAATCAGTTATAACAGTCACTACACTAGGCATGGCACTACTCATTCTTCTCATCGTTGAGCGAGATCATAATTGGCGATTTACGAAAAGCGGCAGGAGTTCCTCTCCGTTAGAGAGTCCGTCACCTGGCCAGGTTTTATGGCGAGCACCCTCTTTAAAAGCAGTTTTCGAGATTCTTAAGATAATTTCTCTCTCTAATTTAGATACCAGTAGCACTTCTGAGATGTGTGTTGTTAGTGCTCGCTTTTGAAAGGAAACAGCATTACAAAAGACTTGTCTCTCGTTAACGTCAAATCTTTTCTATCTTCACGTGATGCCTTAATGCTAAGATAAACTTTAGAAAAAGAGATTTGACAAGGGTAACATTAGGGCACACAATTGAAAAATACTTTTTTTTTTAATTTGCTGCCACTGCAAATGTGAGCACCAGATACAAAGAACTCGACGAAATGCCAAATCGAATTTTTGTTTCGATTCGGAACTCATCTGTAAAGAACTGCGATACCGGGAGATTCGCAAGAGCGTCAATCTCGAAAGTCCGCGAGATGATGGCGGAGAGAAAAGCGGTAGAATCGAAAGGAAGATCGGTAGGAGCTAACTAGCGCGACGCGTTAACCGGCGCACTTATTAGGGAATTGCACTTTCTTTCACGGTTGGCGCGCCGAGGACGGCCGAAGGTGAGAAGAACGAGGAAACCGACCTCCGGTGCAACGACCCGCCGCGAAGTGTGTCGGTTGTGGGCGCACGCAATCGTCGCAACGATTTTGAAAAATGGCCGTCCTACTTCTGCAAGGGAGTACTTTCACGGTCGCTAACCCCACGAGAGGATCGTGCTGATCTCGACACGACAAGCGCTATCCGCGGCTTGCGCGCCATAAAACTTGGCCAGGTTCACGGACTCTCTAACGGAGAGGACCACCTTCTGCCGCTTTCCGTAAATCGCCGAATATGATCTCGCTCAACGACGTGGATAAAGAGCAATCTGATGAGTCTTCATCTCCGGAATCCGCGTTGGAAAAATAGATCAACTGTTAGTATCAACCAGCATCAACTTTCCTTACTTATTTTCCGTCTCGACAACTTCGTTCTTCGATACTCGAGCGCAGTTAAATTCAGCCCATTTTTCTAATTGATCTACGATTGCATGAATTTGTCAGAGGACGATTCGTGCGATCGTAGATCAGTTGGAAAAATCGGCCGAATTTGGAAAAATTAAAGGTAAAAAACGCGAGCAGTAAAGGATGTTATTGTTAAATTATTATATAGTATATTATCCAATATGATAGAGAAACAGTGTGATGAAAAATTTTTTTATACAATGTTGACAGACAAAAGAAAATTTTCCACATTTTTGTGGAAATCTTCTTGATTGTGAGATCTCTCAGTCAACTGAATTATGGCTTCCTGTCTCTTCTTAAAATCTGTACTCGATAAATAGATCAACTGGTATCAATTAATGGAAAACCTTTCTTATTTTATTTCCGTTTCGACAATTTCGTTATGCGAGCGCAGTCAAATTCGGCCGAGTTTCCCCACCTGATCTACGATCGCACGAATCTTCCTGTGACAAATTCGTGCGATCGTAGATCAATTAGAAAAATCGGCCAAATTTGACTGCGCTCGCATATCAAAGAATAAAATTGTCGAGACGAAAATAAAATAAGAAAGGTTTTCCATTAATTAATACCGGTTGATCTATTTATCGAGTACAGATTTTAAGAAGAGACAGGAAGCCATAATTCAGTTGACTGAGAGATCTCACAATCAAGAAGATTTCCACAAAAGTGTAGAAAATTTTTTTGTCTGTTAACATTGTATAAAAAAATTTTTCATCACACTGTTTCTCTATCATTGGATAATAAACTATATAATAATTTAATAATAACATCCTTTACTGCTCGCGTTTTTTACCTTTACTTTTTTCCGGACGAAAAGAAATTGTTAATCGAATATAATCTGCATTTGCAGTTTAAAACAAAATTTTATTCTCGAAGTAAAAATCCTGCATGCATATTTCGCCAAAATGATTGCAAGCACATCGTGACTCTTGGACGGAGAATTTTTCACGTCGTTTCCTACCTCCTTCTCTCCCTTCACTCCCCCCCCCTCCCTCTCTGTCTTCCCTCCTCTGGTCACTCCTTCTCGGCGATTTATCTGAACGAGTGTGTGCGCGCGCGCCGATTTTTCGTCCTAGGTCGCGTCGCAGGAATTTCCTTCGGTTTCTCAACTTTTATCTTCGCGCGGATCGCCGCGATCCACGGGGCCCACTTTTCACCATGAATTCTCACGATATCGTGCTCGGAAAGTAGCGAAAACGTGTTCGAGGATTTCTTTCCCTTCCCACCCTCCCCTCCCCGCCCCGCAGTACTTCACGACGCTTCGGGAGGATTACCGGCTGTCTCGCTTTTGCACAGTCCGCCATGCACGGAGAATAAAACTGTCATCTCGAAAGTTGGCCTACTATCTCCCCGATCGCGATAATAGCCCCTGCAGCCGCGAGACGTGTCTTCCTTCTCTCCTCGCGACGATCTCTAATGCGTCACGGAAAAACGAAGTTAAATTACCTCGGATCTTCGTATCTTCCGCAGCTGCATCTTATCTCCAGCGGCACAGGAGAAAGATAAGAAGAAAAATGGACAACTTAAGGAAAACAACTAACAAAATGTCATGTTGAGGAATATTACTTCTTTTAGAGAGGACTGTCGGGGAAGAATTATTTATTGGCTTTAATTAGAATTAGTTAACTTTATCAATTAATTAGAATTATGTGTGGAAAATTAAAAGTTCCATCGATAGATATATTTTCATGAGAGAGTTTATACATGTAAGTTTTAAATTATCTTTATTGTAAAGATTATCGAAATACAAGATGGAAAACCTTTACGAGATAGAGGAACTAATCAAACAGAATTCAAATGTAGAAAGAGAGTATTTTGCAAGTATTTTCTATTTTACAATTATGATATTCGAAGCATACTAGCGTTTCTTTAATGCTTTAATGAATGCCGTAGAACATTAAAACTTGTAAGAATTTTAATATTAATTTTACGTACTACTAATACGTTTTTAATTTATCATGGTTTCTTTTGTACTATCATCATTCGTTTGTATTTCATTGATAGGATATTCTATTCGATATGTATTCACGTATCTTTTCATAATATCAAAGTGATTTTTCAGAAGGACTATCTCGAACACAGCTTCCGATCGATCGAATGTGATCGAATATGGCCGCGTCGCAGGAATCTCAATCATGCATTTGAAAAAAACGACTATGCTGCATTTTCTCAATGATAGAAATATAATGCCACAATTTTTTGGTATTTCCATTTTACAGCTCCGCATTAAAATAGCGCATTTTGTTGAGGATATAAATTAAACCGAATTTAAGTTAACTCGTTCTTTCATGCCGATTAATATGTTTACTAAGGTTTCGAATGGATATGGATTTATTGCGCAACGTTGAGTCAACGGGAACGGCACACAATGTAAATTGGCGAACTCATTGTTTTCTCGTGATCGCGTCGACGAGCGGATGCAAATGCGTGCAATTCGTGCTATGTGGCACTTGCCGCATACTCACAAACGAGTATGACCTTGACATGCTTGACTCGGAGGCATTTTTCATCTCAGATCGGAGTAAATTTCTACACTGAAAATTCCTACCTGAAAAAATATTTCCATTGGATAAACCAATTAAATAGTGTTCCCGATAGTTAATTTTTCCGATTAACTTTTCCGCTTAAATTATAGGAGAGTTGCCGAATGCGTACCATTTATAAGGAGACTTACGGAAATGCCACTCACTGATTTTAATGAAACTTTGCACACTTGTAGAACATCATAAAAATAATCAACACATATGTTTTTTATTTCTGCACTGGTGCGGGTTGAAAGATAGAAACCACCCCTTGAACAGTAGGAGTGGTCTCCGAGCATAGACAGAAAACACTTACTTTACTCAAGCACCCCGTTAAAATAAATACAGAAAGGGGTTTAAAATCGTTCTACAACCTCCTCGTACTAAACCCTGAAAACCATAATTTTTATAGACTAACTGCAGGCGTATTTCGAACCAGAAAAGTTTTTGTAATTTTAATCGTCATGGGTCTGTCATTTCAAATTTTGTCATTTTGACATCAGATTCGGAATCAGCTGTATTAAAAACCCCCTGAAAGCTATTCTATTCCGAACACGGTTACCGACAACTATTGACATCGTTAACGACGTTTGCGCAGCTTTTTTTACATGATAGAAAAGCTGCGCAAACATCGTTAACGCTGTCGATAGTTGTCGGTAACCGTCAACGGAATAGGGCAGCAATAGCACAGTTCTGTAACTCCGTAGAAAAGCTGCGCAAAGCCGCCTAACGACGACATAACGAGTTACAGAATCGCGCTACTGGTTCGAATCCTGGTCTAGTCC